ATTTATATATATTTAATTAGATGGGGGAACTGTGCGCGTTTTTCAGAGCTCAAAAACTTACTGGCGTATCTCAATAACCAAGTATCCGGATACCATGATGGGTTTCATTAATCATCTTGCTGTCTGACAGGCGAAGAAGGGCAAATTGCTGGGCCTATTCAAGCGCATGAATTTGGATAAAGAGGACGATCCAAAAAGGAATCCCCACGCACACACCAGAGGCAACAGCGCCAACGCTAAGCCCAAAGTCAAAGAGAGCGAGAAACGTCACAAGCGACACAACGAAGCCATCTCAGCGGTGTGTGCTCATAATCACAGCATGTAGCGATCAAACTCATTTCAGCGGTGTGTGCTGATATTCGCAGCACGTGGCGATCAAAGATATCTTAGCGGTGTGTGCTCATACCCTCAGCACGTAACAATCAAAGCCATAACAGCGGTGCGTGCTCATAACCGCAGCATGTAGCGATCAAAGCCTCGGTGTCAACTCGTGGGTCATACTCATGATGTTGTATGTATTCGCCTGTGCAAATGCTCTACAACACTACGCCATGGAGAAAGTTTGTTTTTGCCCTGATAGTCGGTGCAGCCACCATAGTCTATGACTCATCTGTAAAACCTTACAGCTCTCAAACCCTAAACCTATTTAATGCTAGTCCATGACTCATCTCTAAACCTATTTAATGCTAGTCCATGACTCATCTCTAAACCCGTTTAACGCTAGTCAATGACTCATCTGTAATACCCTATAGCCCTCAAACCCGAAACCTATTTAGTGCTAGTCCATGACTCATCTGTATAACTCTATAGCCCTCAAACCCGAAACCTATTTAGTGCTAGTCCATGACTCATCTGTAAATCCCTAAACCCGTTTACGGCTAGTCCACCATGACTCATCTGTAAAGCTCTGTACTCACCTATCAGGAGACAGGGCAGCGCACCAGCACGAATGCCAAGGCAAGTAGTGACAATAAGAAAGCCAAAAAGGACACCAGTCGCAAACGTGCCACAACCGGGCCAAGTCGGTTCTTTTTGCCGCGCTCAACCATGTCAGACTCAGACGACTCTGTGGACTACGATCCCAATCCCATTCCCGGCTTTGATTCCTTCACGTATGTCGTATGTGACGGGCAAGTGTGTGTGTAGGTGCTAGTTTTTTTATAGGGTTTTTTATGCGTGTAGGTGAGAGTTTTTTTGGGGGGGTTTTATGCGTGTAGATGCGGTTGTCCGTGACTATGTACGTGTCTAGTGTTTGGGAGAGGAGATTTGAAATGGTTGTAAGACCTTGCCTATGTGCCTGACAAGTGGGTGAGTGTTAGGTGCAAATGGTTATTGATATGTGAATATTTGGTGCTGACAGTGTGGTGGGAAGGTTGTGAGTGACTTCTGCTTCTCCACGCATGTAGCTGTCAACTTTTTGGTGACGGGTTAAGTAACTCTTGTCCCTTATTCATGCTGCTTTAAATTTTATACGTAGGTTGAAAGTATTGTTGTGCTTTCAAGTTTATATGTAGGTGACATGTATGTTTTATCTTACAAGCATGAATAATGTTTCATCCTTCAAGTGTATATGAAGGTTACATGCGTGTTTTATCTTACAAGCATCAATTATGTTTTATTGTTCAAGTGTATATGAAAATTACATATCTATTTTATCTTCCAAGCATCAACTATGTCTTATCGTTCAAGTGTATGTATAAATTGCATATATGTTTGTTTGGTTTTCGGGTGTGTACGTATTTCACCCTGCCATCACCAAGGAGCGGGCTTTAGGGTTCTAGGGTTTAGGGTTTTTGTTGTTTATAGTCCTAGTTCAATCCCAGGCTTCGATTCCCCCTACATGTCGTGTTTGTTCCTTTTCTTCTGAGAGTGCTTCGTATACGTATTGTTTTGTATTATAGGTTGAATGTACCTTATGCACAGGCATGAATCCAGGTATCACTGGACTCTTTATGTGTATGTGTCGTTTCCAACTGTATGTGCATACTAGAGGTTATGTGAGCTGGCGTATCTCAACAAACAAATGGACCTTAATATGAAATAGAGAGCCTTGTGACACGAGTTACCATATCACATGAACACTACCATACATATACCGCTCTCATTAACTATTCAAAATACAAAACAAACTCGTGAGCATCACTCACAGATATCACTCCAAACCCTTTGTCTACTAAACCACGTATGTATGTTCATCGATGTATTGTGTGCAGTGGTTTGCCCAAGAGAATAAGTGGGCCCAAGAAAGTGACCCAAAACACAGTCGCAGGAACAGCCGCAGCATCGGCTGCTGGGTTTCTAGTCATGGGGCCAGTGGGTGCCGTCATTGCTGGCGGAAGTGCATTTACTGTTTTAAAGGTATGTGATATATGTACAACTGATATATATATATATTT